TGGTCCTGGCCCACACCAGGGGCAGAGGGGGTCCAGGCTGAAGGAGTGTGTGGGCGGGTGGTCCTCAGAAGAGGGGACTACATGCCTTGTCATCCTCATTCCCCCAGGGGCTGCCATCCTGGAGCTCCTAGGGAGAACCCCTTGCCAAGGCCCAGGAAGTGGTAGGGCTGGATGAATGGATAATACAGTGAGCAGATAACAAAGCTCTACACCAAAGGAAAATATTAAAACCATCCTATTTGAAAAATATGTTATTTATTTCCTAAATGTTACCTATTTTTAAACTCCTACCATAAAAGGCACGTGGTACAGAACTCACAAGTGGCATAAAGAAAATTTAAGGTTTTGAAAGGTCTGTCTTCCTCTCCCCCTCCCCTGTTGTCCACAGACCCTGGCCCCCTCCCAGGAAGCAACCACTGATACCAGGGACTTAGAGATTTCCAGAGAGTCTACAGATTGCAAAGACCTGGTATTTCTTTTTTCTCTTCCATATAAATAGTAGTATTTTGTGTATAATACCTGCACCTTAGTTTTTTTTTTTGAGATGGAGTTTTGCCCTTGTAGCCCAGGCTGGAGTGCAATGGTGCAACCTTGGCTGCAGCCTCAGCCTCCCGAGTAGCTGGGATTACAGGTGCCCATCACCACACCCAGCGAATTTTTTGTGCTTTTAGTAGAGATGGGGTTTCACCATGTTGGTCAGGCTGGTCTTGAACTCCTGACCTCAGGGGATCCACCCACCTTGGCCTCCCAAAGTGCTGAGATTACAGGCATGAGCCACCGCGCCTGGCTGGAGTCTCCCCTTTGTGGCCCAGGGTGGAGTGCAGTGCTGCCATCTAGGCTCACTGCAGCCTCTGTCTCCTGGATTCAAGTGATTCTCCTGCCTCAGCCTCCCGAGTAGCTGGGATTACAGGCATGAGCCACCACACCTGGCTAATTTGTGTGTGTGTGTGTGTGTTTCATAGAGATGAGGTTTCACCTTGTTGGCCAAGATGGTCTCAAACTCCTGACCTCAAGTGATCTGCCAGCCTCGACCTTGCAAAGTGCTGGGATTACAGATGTGAGCCACCGAGCCCAGCTTGCACTTTGCCTCTTTATCTTAATATATCCTGGGAATTTTTCCATGTCAGAATATAAAGGGATGCCTCATTCTTTTAAATTTTTTATTTTATTTGTTGTTGTTTTTTTAGAGACAAGGTCTTGCTCTGTTGACCAGGCTGGAGTGCAGTGGTGCCATCATAGCTCACTGCAGCCTTGACCTCCGAGGCTCAAGCGGTCCTCTCGCTTCAGCCTCCCAATGCCTCGTTCTTTTCAATGGCTGTATTGTGTGCCACTGCAGAGATGGAGTGTGCCAGTTGGCTATTGCTGGGTAACAATCAATTCTAAAACTTATTGTTTTCAGACTAACCATGCATCGTATCTCATGTGTCTATGTGTTTGGCTGATCTTGGCTGGGCTCACACAGGCATCTGTGTCAGCTGGCAGGTTGGCTAGGGGACTGGCTGGTTGCGGGCAGCCTCAGCCGGGCACCTCAGCTCTCCTCCTCGTGTCCCCCACATCCTCCAGCAGGTTGCCTGGATACAGGCCCATGGTGAGATGGGCAAAACAAGTGATCCCAGCGCTACAGGGGCAAGTGGAGTTGGCCGGCAGTGCCCAAGCCTCTGTTTGCATCACATCTGCTAATATCCTGTTGGTCAAAGAAAGCCACATGGTGAGGAAGACTCAGGGTGGGAGGGGACCACATGGTTACTAGGCAAGTGTGTGAAGCTATTAAATTCAGGCCATTAGAGTGACCTGTCTCCCATACGGAGCTTAATTCACCTAGACCCTTGCCACTGAGGGTGGGGGCAGCAAATGCCCAGGTTGCATGCTCCCTCCTGCCTGGTGAAGTAGCAGGCCTGGCACGGGTGAGGCCAGGTACAAGGGGTGGGTCCAGGGAAGGGCCTCTGCTGCAGGTGTAGCTGCTCCACCCCTACCTGGAGCAAGTCACAGTCCAGGAGCATGCATAGTGCAGCCTGCCACCCCCAGCTACAAGGAGTGGCTGTCATGCCCCTGGAGGCAGATGGGGGCCAGAACTAATGACAAAGCCTCACTGCCCATCCCACGTCGAATGAACCCAGCTGGTTTCACAGCCCTGTAGTATCCCAGGGCACCCCAGGGGAAAAAGGTCTCTCTCCCTCATTGCCCACTCTAAGTGGCAGTGCCCTGAGCTGGGCCCTGGAAGCCCAGACCAGTGAGAGAGACACAACCCTGGTATAGTCAAAAAGTTTCGGGGGATTGAATGGCCAGGCGCAGTGGTTCGCACCTGTAATCCCAGCACTTTGGGAGGCTGAGGTGGATGGATCACTTGAGGTCAGGAGTTCGAGACCAGCCTGGTTAACATGGTTAAACCTCATCTCTACTAAAAATATTTTTAAAATTAGGCATGGTGGCGCAAGCCTGTAATCCCAGCTACTCAGGAGGCTGAGGCAGGAGAATTGCTTGAACCTGGAAGGCAGAAGTTTTAGTGAGCCAAGAGCAGGCCGCTGCACTCCAGTCTGGGTGACAGGAGTAAAACTCTGTTTCTAAAAAAAAAAAAAGTTTTGAGGACTTTTTTTTAAAAAGAAGAGTGACTAACCCTGCCATTCTAGATAGGCACTGGAGAAGACTTCCCATGAGGAGTGGGGAGGGGACAAGCACTCTGGGCTTTGAAGGATGAGTAGGAGTTCATCAATAGGCCAAGGAAGAGAGGGGAGGACATTCTAGAGAGTGGACACAGCTCATGCAAGGAGTGGAGGCACAGGAAGGGTTCGAGGGGCAGCAAAGAGCAGATATCCTGAGGCTGGAATGAGCCCTGAGGAGAGACATGGTCAGAAGCTCTAGCAAAATATCCAACCTCAGAGGTATAAATGACTGTGCACACAAAATCAACGCCTCTCCAGGCTCAGGTGCAGTGGCGCTTCGCCAAGGAGCCTTTCCTGATCCCAGCTGGGTCAGTGCCCCTGTCGAAGGCTGTCAAGTGAACCGTGTGGCAGTTATACTTGGGGTTCAGTATCATCCATGTGCTCACCTGTGTAGTGTCCATCTCTCCCATCAACGTCAGGCTCCAGAGGGTGGGGACCAGGTCAGTCTTGTCCACCACAGTTTCCCCAGCACCATGCACAGGACCTGGCACAAGTAGAGGTTCGCTCAGTCTGTACTCAGTGAATGAATGAATGAATGAATGAATGGGTGAACAGGGAAATGACAGAAAGAAATGAGTCCCAGTAGATAATAATACTGCATTATAGGTGATTTCCATGTTCTTTTTTTTGAGATGAAATCTTGTTCTGTCACCCAGGCTGAAGTGCAGCAGCACAATTTGGGCTCACTGCAACCTCTGCCTCCCGGATTCAAGCGATTCTCCCAGCTTGGGTTGCTGGGATTATAGGCACCCGCCACCATTCCTGGCTAATTTTTGTATTTTTAATAGAAACAGGGTTTCACCATGTTGGCCAGACTGGTCTTGAACTCCTGAAGCTCAAGTGCTCTGCCTGCCTCAGCCTCCCAAAAGCGCTGGGATTACAGGTGTGAGCCACCTCACCTGGCCTCCATGTTCTTTTTATAACCTTCTGTCCTTTATATGTGTTTACCCTAATTATATTTTATAATTAAGTAAAAACCAAATCCACGTTATCATCATTATTATTATTTTGAGACAGGGTCTTGCTCCATCATCCATGCTGGAGATCACGGCTTACTGCAGTCTTGACCTCCCAGGCTCCAGAAATGCTCCCACCTCAGCCTCCTGAGTAGCTCGGACTATAAATACAAGCCACCATGCCCAGCTAATTTTTAAATTTTTTGTAGAAATGGAGGTTTGCCACGTTGCCCAGGCTGGTCTTGAACTCCTGGCATCAAGTAATCCTCCCACCTTGGCCTCCAAAAGTGCTAGGATCACAGGCACGGCAACTGCGCTGGCCCCAAATCCACATTATTTTGATGAGAGAATGAGAGGTTGTTGTGGTGCCCAGTGGAGAAGAGACAGGAAAGAGAAGATTAGGAAAGGTGGCAAGGAGGCTGCTGGCATGGTGATGTAGGGGCGATGTAGGAGGGACGATTACAGGGAGCTGTGAGGGCCAGAGCCTCAGTCTCTTCATCTGGAAAATGGAGCTAAGGGCCAGCCATGGCTTAAATTACAACGTTCATATAAAAAATGCAGCCATTTATGGAAGCTCACTCCATGCCCATCACTGCCTTATTTGCTGATAATTCCCCCGCCAACCGCCCCGATTCCTAGGTGAAGACTATTACCTCCATTTCCCAGCTAGGGAAACAGGCTGTGGTCCATTGAAATCCTAGCTCAGCCATATTCAAGCGCTGTAACCCAGTCAGTTGTCCCTGAGCCTGTTTCCCTATCTGTAAAATGAGGATGACAACAGTCCCAACTTCATGGGGCTTTGTGGAGGTCGTAGGATTGTGTACCTGAAGCAGGGTGGGTCGGCATATGTGAGCAGTGTGCCGTCAGTACCAAGGAGCTGAGGCACTGTCCTGGGACCACACTGCCAATAAGTGGCTGAGCCAGGATCCCACCCAGGTTTTCCTGTCCACAGAGCGGGGTTACTGGGGTGGGAGGCGCCCCTGCTTAGTGGGAGCTCTGGGCGGCAGGTGTCTCCTGGTGCATAGTGGGCTGGGCGTGAGGGACCCTGCCCAGAGCTCCTCCCTGGTGTTGCAGCAGAGGCAGGGGGAGGTAAAGGGTCAGGGATGCTGGCCCGTCAGGGGTTTCAGGGCCTCTGTGTCCAGTGTGGGAAGCGGTTTCCCAGCAGCTGCCCCGCTGCTAATGGGCCTCCCTTCGTAGCAATCCGCCGTGATAACAGACAGATTTAATTAAAAAGAACGTGTGTCCTCCTCTGCAGGAAGGCTGCAGCCAGGATTCGGGGCCTGTGATGAAAACTTAGCTCCATAAAGCCTGTGCACAGGCGTGGGTGCTCAGAGCTGCCGAGTTTTCTAAAAGGAGTGCACCCCACCCCCTCCCATATCCTTGTTATTTATCGAGTTAATTTTGTCCTCTCGCCACAGCATGAACCAACTGAGCCCTGACCCTGACTTGCCTCCTGCTCCCAGGCTGTGCCAGGCACAGGATTGCCTCCTGTGGGGACGAGAGAGGTAGGGAATGCCAGCTTTGAACCAGGAAAACCTGGGAGGGGGACCTGTCCCTGACTTTGTGATGTCAGACAAAGCCCTCTCAGAGCTTCTGTTTCTGCATCCAGGAATGGGGCAGAGGCTGATGCCACTTCCTGAGGCTAAGTGAGGCCCAAACGCGGTAAGGGGAAAGGTGCCTAGTGCCTGATGGGCACTTGGAGCGTGCTGGCTGTTGTTACCATCTGGGTGATGACCACTAGCAGTGGGACTGCTGGATGGAACCCAGGGAGCCTTGGCGAGAGGGTGGCTGGAATGGGTGGGGAGGCCCAGGCTGGCACTCAAACTAGTAGACAAGACTTTGAGAATAGAATTAAGGCCAGGCACCTTGGCTCATGCCTGTAATCCGAGCACTTTGGGAGGCCAAACTGGATGGATCACCTGAGGTCAGTAGTTCAAGACCAGCCTGGCCAACATGGTGAAACCCTGTCTCTATTAAAAATACAAAAATTAGCCAGACGTGTTGGCAGGCGCCTATAATCCCAGCTACTCAGGAGACTGAGGCAGGAGAATCGCTTGAACTAGGGAAGTGGAGGTTGCAGTGAACTAAGATCATACCACCCCACTCCAGCCTGGGTGACAGCGAAACTCTGTCTCAAAAAAAAGAAAAGAAAAAGAAAAAAAGGGGAATTAAGAGTGGAGACTTTGGAATCAGAAAGACCTCAGTTCAAATCCTGGTTCCGCCATGTACTGCCTGTGTGGACCGGGCTGAGTGACTTTGCCCCTCTAGGGTTGTTTTCTCATCTGTTGAGTGTGGGTGGTAGTAGAAGCTTCCCTGTTGGGTTGCAGCCCAAGGAATCCATGAACCAGGGCACAACACCTGGCACCACGTGAAAGCTCAAAGGGCATGCAATTGGGTGCTGTGGCTGCTGAGGTTGACTTTTAAGGCTGAGTGAAGGGTTGTGACTTTCTGGCCTGGCCCAGGGCAAAGTTTCCCTGGAGGCCTGAGGCCAGCACCCAGCAGGGCGGAAGCGACCTCCCACATGTTGGCTCCCCAGGTACCCACCGCTGTCAGGCTGGGGATGGGGCAGCCACCTCGTGGCCAGATTGGTGGCCTGATAGCAGGGACTTTGAGACAAAGCTATCGGAGGTGGTGACAGGATCCTGAATGGGCTTCTCTGTGCAGGCACAGAATTGCATTCGCTTGGATTTAATTAAAAAGACTCAAATCTTTCTGATAATCCTCCCAGCAACGGCTAGAGCAGGGCCTGAAGCCAGCTCCCTGGCAACGGCGCATCCTGCTGATAAAGAACTCTTGTTGGGTGGGGGCAGTGGGCCCCCTCGGCTGGCCCAACGTCCGCTGCTATCAGCCCTGCCCATCGCTCAGCAAAAGAGGGACAGGGAGGCCGGAGAGGCAGCTGCTTCCCCCACCCCACCCCACCCCGAGCTCCCAACCCCTGCAGTGTGCGCTGATGTGCTTCTTTGTTCATGGGTGTATGCTCTCTGCCTGGCACCCACACCTCCCCCAGAGCAGCTGCCCACCTCCTGCCAATCACTGTGCCCACCCCGTTCACCTGCACGGAGGCTGGGCCATCCAACTCTGGTGCCTGTGGAACGGGCAGGTCTCTGGCTCTGCTCAGAGTCTGAATCCAATGAAAAGGGCATGGTCTGCAGTGCCACTCCCCCCACCTCCCAGCCTGTGCCTAGGACGCTCCCTCCACCTCACCCCTCATTCCTGGATTTTGACTTGTCCTAAGCCCCAGCCCTAAGTGTTCCTCCCACCCACTCCCTTTTACATATGAATCCCCAGCCCAGGGCTGGGCAGACTGAGGGGATCAAGGGATGGCTGGTGATTAACTGGAGGAATGAATGAATGCAGACAAGCCAGCCTGACTCGGGACAGGGGCTCCTGTTCCACTTTTACCTCACAGCAGGCGAGGAGTCTGGTCCTGGTCCTTGAACTTGGCCCTTCGCTGACCCCCTGTATGAAGGTCTTAAAACCTCCCACCCTCTCAGCCTCCTCCTTGCCACGTCTGACTCCCATCAGGTAAGGGCTGAGCCCTGGTGACAGGAAGGCCAGAGGAAAGGGTGACATTGCCTGGGGAGGGGTGGCTGAAGGGCCCTGGGGTCTGTGTGGCTTGCCCTGGACTCTCCTTTGCAAACCCACAGCTCCCTGGAGCATGGCTGTCTGCCCCTAGTTCTCCCATCTCTACCAGACACTCCCTACCTGCCAGGTCCAGCCACCCATGTGAGAGGAGGGAGGGTGCCCTGCAGTGGGCATAGCCAGAGAACAGTCCAGGAGGGCATGGTTGGTCCCTCTCGGACGTGACCCTACATCGGCACAGGAATCCCTGGGGCGGTTTTGGCATCTGATTCCTCCTGAGACCCCCGTGCCCACCCCTGCTGAATGTGAGGGACAGTGAAGGGAAGATTGAGCAAGGGCAAAGGCCTGGTCTCTGCCAAAGTCTGGCTCCTGAGCTGCCGAAGTCTGGCAGGCCAGTGACTCACCTTGTCTGTGTCTCAGTTTCCCCACCTGCATATTAGAGGCATCTGGCCCAGGGAAGGGCTGGGTTCCATGTCAGCTCATCACCCCTGCCCCACTCGCCAGCCCACTGTGTGTTCACATCCTAGAACTACCTCTACTCAGCACATCTGTCCTCCTTGCCACTGGAGGGTCGATTACCATCACAGCCTAATAGAAGGAAACAGAAGCTCAGGCTTCAGCTCCCCTGGACTGGACAGCAAGGCCCGGGCCGAGTCTCTCCCCTCTGACTTCTTCTCCAGCAACCACCTCAATCTAGAACATATTGCAATAGATTTTAAATCAAATTGCTTAAAATATGTAACTATTCATGTTGCTAGATGTTACTTCTAGACAGATCCAGATGGCCCCTACCTCTAGACAGGACCCAGGTGCACCTTGGAACTGGGAGGCCATGGAAGCCTTGGTAGGAGAGGAGAGGGGACAGAGCCCTGGGGGCACAGCAAGGGCCAGGGATGAGGGGAGGGTGGCTGGTGACAGGCTGCTGGCGGGCCCTGGGATGAGGTGAAGGTGGATTTCTGTTTGGAGCCCTAAGAAGCCGTGGAGATTCTCACCTGAAGATCCTGGCCACCTTGGTGAGGGGAGAGGGCTGGTTCTGAGTGGGGAGGGATGAGGGCAGAGGAGGGGCTGAGGGGAGGATGGGAGGGCCGTGGTGAGATCTCCTTTCCGCATGGCTCAGCTGTGGGGGACATGGCACAGAGGGCAGGCAGCAAGATTCTGCCACAGAGACCAGGGACAGGGAAACTGAGGCACAGGGGGCTCAGCTGCTGCCCCACCCTTTCCATTTGGTTCTCTGTCTCCCACCAAGCTCCAAGGATCCTTCCTCAGTCATATCCAGGGCTCAGTGCCAGGGGCTGCTCTGTTCCAGACCATTTCTACCCTCCCAGCCCGACAGGCTCCCAGGGAAGGCCTCCAGGGCAGGAGCCAGGAGAGAGGACCTCGAGTGGGCTTGAGTGACTGCAAACTACTGCTATAGCTACTGCGTATTATTGCTGTAATTATACCAGATGACCAAGGGAAGGCAGGAGGGGAGGGAGGAGGTAGGGAGGGGTGGGAAGGGTGCTCCTGCACACTGACTGCTCTCCCAGAGCCAGCACAGGCTGGGCATTGCCATGGAGATTCCTGCTTAACTCTCACCACGACCCAGTGATGCAGACACCATCTGATATGGTTTGGCTGTGCCCCACCTACATGTCTTGGGAGGTACCGAGTGGGAGGTGATTGAATCACGGGAGCAGGTCTTTCCTGTGCTTTTCTTGTGATAATGAATAAGTCTCACAAGACCTCAGGGTTTTATAAGGGGAAGTTTCCCTGCACAAGTTCTCTCTTTGCCTGCTGCCATCCATGTAAGACATGACTTGCTCCTCTATGCTTCCCACCATAATTGTGAGGCCTCCCTGGCCATGTGGAACTATTAAAGTCCATTAAACCTCTTTCTTTTGTAAATTGCCTGGTTTCAGGTATGTCTTTATCAGCAGCATGAGAAAGGACTAATACCCCATCCCTATCCCCGCTTCACAGAGGAAGAAACTGAGGTGCAGAGAGGTTGGCGGTTTGCCTGAGGGCACACGGCAGAGGCCAGGCCTTGGACAGGGCCATCCCACTCAGGACACAGGCTCAGCTCTGCTCCACCACATTCCTTTGCCCTTTTGCTCAATCCCCCCTTCACTCTCACCCCATGTTCAGCTGGGGCAGGCACCAGAGCCTCAGGAGGAATAAGATGCCAAACTCACCCCAGGGATACCTGTGCTGGTGTAGGGTCACATCTGAGGGGGACCAGCCATGCCCCGCTGGACTGTTCTCTGGCTGTGCCCACTGCAGGGCACCCTCCCACCTCCCACATGGATGGCTAAGCCTGGGGGCAGGGGATGTGTCTGGTAGAGATGGGAGAACCAGGGGCAAACAGCCATGCTCCAGGGAGCTTCAGGCTTACAAAGAGCCATGTCCAGGATGAGTTATGCAGACCCCAGGGCCCTTCAGCCACCCCTCCTCTGGGGAGGGGAATGTCAAAGGAAATGTCACTCTTTCCTCTCACCTTCCTGTTACTAGGACATCCTAGGCTCAGCCCTCCCCTGCTGGGAATGAGGCGTGGTGAGGAGGATGCTAAGAAGTTGGGAGGTTTTGAGACCCTTCATGTGGAAGCGTCAGGGGAAGGGCAAGGGAGGGAGGCCCGAGTTTAAGGCCTAGGACCAAACCAGGACCCCTCCTCCCCAGATTCCAAGATGAGGCTCCTGGGTGAGCTAAGGCTCTAGATTTGGAAGCCTCCAGCCATGAACTTCTTAGGGAAGCAGGGAGGACGGGCATTATTCTAATGGGTGCAGGACAATTTCTTCTTAATGTGTAAGAATCCTTTGAAAGCCAGCAGGCGCAGGGTATGAGGGTGTGGTCAGGGTAGCACCAGCCTCCCTGGGCATCAGGAACCACCTCTGTAAGAGGGGATGGTTCTAGAGTGTTCCCTCAAGCATCCTGTTCCCAGAACTGACTC